GAATGAGGTTATTTAGCGTTACACTCCATCAAATCCTCTTCTCTAAACTTACTAGTGAGAATGGTTGTGGTTGGTATAATTCAGGTAATCATTGCTGATGAGATTAAAAGGGGGAAGTACATAATATCCTTCGATCCGCTCAACGGGTCCTCCCAGATCGACAGCACGGCTCCTATGGGTGAGTTACTCGCTTCCGTAAATACAAATTAGTAGTAGTGAACTGAATCAGTAATGGGTAAACTATTCTCGTGTCTTTATGTTGTTTCCCTTTTTGGTGTGATTCGGAGTCTGGGAGAAACTCACCGATGGAATGACTGCTGCTACGAATGACGATTTCATGCAACCGGGCAGGTGAGCAAGGCAATTCAATGTATTGCATCATTATTAGTAATGTGATTTTCTACACCTCTGTTCCATGGCGGCTGCCGGTTATTGTATTTATGGTTCATCAACAATGTTAATTGTTATGTTATGGTTACTTTGTTGTAAATTTACCTGTTATTGTTATCTGTTGAAGTTATGAAGTTTTTCTTGAAGCTCTTGATCGATATGCCACGCGGATGCTCGACCGATCGACGCCTAGTTTCCCGCCAAGTGTGACGTCAGCACTTCGAACGGACCAATGGCGAGCACTTCCGGTTCCGCCCCTTCGAGCCCACGTATATAAGGGCCGACTAGTGTGAAGAAGAGCAGTCTAACCCTAGTGTGAGCTAGAGAGTAGTGTCCTCGGAGTCAGTTGTCAGTGTCAGTTCGCCTTCAACCCACGGGGCCGAGGTGGCATCCGTGAATTAATTTCCACGGGAAGCGGTGTAGACGGTTTCACTCTTGATCTGGTAGGTTTTTCCTTACGTTACTTACTTCTCTACTCAAAGGCAGTGGGCACAATGGCTGGGGGTGGGGGTAACTTCCAAAGTCATTGGTGGTAGTGCGAGAAGAATTTGACATACCCCGCTCACCCATTTCATTAGTAAGGTTGGCTAGCCGCCCGCCGTCAGCGGTCGCACCTACTGCCCTTAAGATTCATGAACGTGAGTGAAGTGAGGGTGGGAAGGAGGAGTAGTGTTTGCCACCTAGGGGAGCATCTGATGGGTAAATCCAGATAACCACCCAATAAACTCCCGATCCGCTGCTCGTATGTAACTTTTATTCGTAAGTAATCGATGCTGAATACATGAGGCATAAAGGAATTTCATTGCAGAGCATTGGGGAATTCATACTCACACATTCTAAGATACACCTTCCTAACAAAGGAAAGATCTACAGCATCAATGAGGGAAACGCAAAAAATTGGTCGGCTGGTCTTGCTGCTTACATACATGACAGGAAGTTCCCACCAGTAAGCAGATTTTTCATTTCTAGTGAGAATTCGAAATTGTACAGTACACTGGAATGATCCCAAGGCCTGTATTGTTCCAGCTGTTCTGTAAACAGTAAAGCATAAAACTGCAGGCTGGCAAGAAAGTGATGACTCAGCGTCACGTCGGATCATTGGTGGCTGACATCCATCGCACACTCCTTTACGGAGGAATGATGCTCCGGACGGTCCTCCATCGAAGGAAATGAATGCTCCAGTCCTCCATCCACCCACGAATGATGCTCCGGACGGAGAGGTGAGGATCGTGTCTTTCATGAGGTCGACTTCCCCCTGGTGCCCACTTAGAGTGCGGCAACACTGTACGCTTTAGGTCAGGCACTGAAGCGAACTCATCTGCTTGCGTATTTGTTGTGATAACCCGTGTAGGACAAAATCGTTGTTTCACCTTTCGCGGCAGTCAGTTCGAGAATCAGATGCGAGCAGAATGCTGCTATGTCTTGAATATGCATGATGCCCTGTTGCATGTGTGATTATGTCTTGTTGCTCCAACCTCCTTTTGTTGTCGTTGAAATCGTTGTTCTTCATGTCATTACATGCCAATCTGCTACAGTTCACGTCTGCCCTAAGCCTGGTTCCTAATTGATATATCAGGCTTACGACGTGGCTCACGCCTGAGCGTTGTTCATTTTGTCTCTCAGAATTAGGTTTCTCCTACTCTTGCAACGAAAGGAAGTTCTGTTCTGGTTTTCGAATGCCTTAACAAATCACGAAAAAATTATAAATAAGAGGTCAACCAATATCTTCCAATGGAAGCCTGCAGAAAGTAATCGATTCTTCGCTTGTAGAAACCCTGCTCTAGTAAATACGACCAGTAACAAGTCTTGCATATTTTCAATGCACTGTAATAATACATTTCCAATGTATTATTACCCGAAACATCAACGCATGGGTGGTGCTTAAGATGGAGCTCCGACCTGAAGAATAAGAGTCCACAAGGACACTACTGTTTACTGAACCCTAGCTTTGGTAGATCCCCATTGAATTTCTAGTACTCTTCTCTACGAGTAGCGGTTTCCCGTGGTAGGTGGTAGTCGCTCGAAAGACCTAGCTACCCATACCTATTCCTGCAGCTGCGCTTTATCACACAAAAGACTTGTTTCATTTCAGCTAAGTCTCCTGTATGAATGCGCTGCAATGTCATTCATTATCGAACAAGCTGGAGGTCTCGCGAAGACGGGAAAGGTGATATGAACCTATGCTTCTTTCTAACAGAGATTCCGTGAAAGCATCAGAGTTTCAGCGTGCGCTACTCGACGTTATTCCCGACAATATAATCAACGAACGCCTTTCTACGCTGGAAGTAAGGAGGATGTCGAGGAGTTACTCACTTACATCAATAACGAGTAAATTAATTGAGAACTTTTCATGCTCAAGTCTCATTGAAACAATAAAGGGTTTTTATTACATGGTCATCTTGTGACTTCGCGGCCGAAAAGTGAGCGTTCTTGTTGGAAATCGACCGACCAGACTTCGGAACTCGTATGTCTACATCACAAGTATACACTTTCAACGGTAAACCACCTAAGGGGGGAGGGGGGTAACGCCCATAGACCGCTATGGTCAACGCGTCCCTCTTTGCTGAGCATTCTACTGAGATTTGGAGAAGTGGGGAACGATATCAAGACACTGCAGGACTAACTGGCAGGCGTACCCTCTGTGTGTGCAAGATGAGCACGTATGTAGCTATAGAAGGGTAACATTCCAACCATTCGAGATTGTGAGCCAAGTGAGATAAAGGCTTTCGACTGTATTGCTCTTCATTTTTAAGAATACACTTTGTATGGTCTTAGTCGCGTTGATCCGGGGGGGGGGGTAGACCTGACCCACGGACAGCATTGCCACCACCGGTTATTTTCTTCCTGACAATAAGTCGATCACTAGCCGATCAATATTGGTAAAGCAAAGCAGCCCAAAACGGCTCATTTTGCCCACCCTACACCGCCCCAGATGGATTAGGATTTTACAAACTGTACGTCTCGATGGACATGCTTCGAAGAAACAATTCTACCAAAATGTTAGTCTGATAAAGTTTTGCGAGAAACAAGGGGAGGGGGAGGGGAGGATGCTCAATGGTTACTTCTCTATATTAGAGTCTTCATACCGAGAATAAGGTCCGAGGTTCATGAGCGAGCTTCATCGAGAGTCGTACGTTATAGAGAAGACTCTATAACCATTTCCAGCCGTGATACTGTGAAAATGAACTGTCTTGTTTACTTTGCTTGTTTATTATCATCGCGGCAGTATAAAAGACTGCCGCGGTAAGGTTGACTTCACCTTTTTTGTTGGTCTACCGCAAGCAGTAGCAATAAACGTTCCGAAGACCCGCGTGGCAGCGTATAGGATACAACTACACTACACCGGCTGCAGTACTCAGTGATACTACAATCACTACATGGTGCATCGGCACCGCATCCGGAAAGAAGAGCCTACCAAACGTGAGTAACTAGCCACGATTCAAGTAGCTGCCTAAACAGAAGTTTCAAGTTCTTTGTCATTCAATTTGAGAAAAAAATGTGTTCTCTGATCACCACACGCCAAGGTGTTCTGACAAGGGCACAAAATCGTCTTGTAGGATTACTCAGAACACAAACAAGTAACTTTAATCTAAACAATGAAAGTCAACACATAAATGAGGTGCAAAAGCAAATTAGAAAGGCAAAAGCAGCTATTTCAATGGAGGTACAAAAGCTTGAAGAGGCGATTGACCGATACGCTGAAGCAATCGACAACGCAGATGGAAACTCGAAACCGGACCTACTGAAGCGTACAGAGGAACACATTGAAGCTGCACAGGAGATCCTGGATGAGGCTCAAAACGAGTTGAGGAAGCTTACGGAGCTCCAGGAGGAACTGAAAGACTCAGAGGAACGAAATAGCGCACTTGGGAATCCAGTAGTCACGCTCAATCCAGTACCGATACCGAAGTTCAATGGAGATATCTGGGAGTGGGAGCCTTTTTGGCAAAGCTTTGAGCGCAATGTACATTCCCAAAACATCGATGACATGTATAAGATGAATTACCTCCTTGATGCTTTACAAGGAGCAGCCAAGGAATCAGTTAAGCATTTCCAAGTCGCCGGACACACATATCCTCTAGTCATTGCTCACCTAAAGAGGAAGTATGGAGACACACAAGCGTTAGTAGATCGACTCTTGAGTAAGCTGCAATCGGCAAAAGCCGAGAGTGGCAGTCTCGAAGATCAAGAAACGTTGTGCGAGCAACTCACTTCCCTTACGTCGCAACTGCACCTACATGGGGAACACATCGATAACACATTTCTACAGAAACAGCTACTTGGAAAGTTTTCCGTCGACGTTCATAGACAGATTCTGAAAACAAAGATAGAGGGGAAGGAACGTGGAGCACTGTGGCCCTCTTGAGATCCGCAAAAGAGTTCATCGAAGCTGAACTGAGAATCATCAGTCAAGTTGAACGGCACGGTTACAACATCGGAGAATACCAAGGAAAGGGTGCAAGAGAAGAAAGAGGGACCACGTCCAATAGAAAACCAACGAAGTTTCAAACCTCAGCTCCTTGTTTCTACTGCACAAAAACAGGACATTCTGCGAAAAACTGCAATGAAGTCTCTTCACTCGAACAACGTCTGGACATCATGAAGATGCAAAAACTTTGCCACAATTGCGGACAAAAGGACCATACAACAGCAACGTGCCGCAAGGGAGCCTGCAGATTGTGTGGTGTTACTGGACACCACACCTCTATCTGCAGAACCCTCTTTCCAAACAACACTTCCTACACATCACAAAACTCAAGGAAACCAACAGCAAAAACTACACAGAACCAATCGTCAAGAGTGTCAAATGCCAACACTCTAGGTTCCAACCAAGACCTAAGACCAAATGAAGATACCGCAGTTCACTTCAACTATGAGAACGACATGGTTCTAGCAGGGCAGGCGAAAGTACTAAACCCATCTTTAGGAACTTTCGAGCCGGTTCACATCATCCTCGATTCGGGAGCCGACCGATCGTTCATCAGCAACACACTCGCCAGGAGATTGCATCTCAAAAATATTGAGTCTACTAAACTCACTATCAACACTTTCGGCTCACTGCAGCCAGTCACAAAAACATTTGGTGTCACGCTCATCCAAATCTGGGACGCTAATGGCACTCATCATTCATTCAAAGTCGCAAGAATCGACAAAATCACAGAACCACTGCAACGGAACCGCCTCAGCCTAGAGGATAGACAGTTCCTTTCTGATAATGAGCTGCAACTCTCCATAAACCCAAATTTGACAAGCATTCGCCCTCAAATTCTTCTGAACTGCACCGACCTTCTTTCTCTTTTGGATCAAGGCTTGGCATCACAACATATACTACCATCAGGGTATCGACTCATTTCTTCGAAGCTTGGTTATCTAGTAGCAGGAGGCAATAGCCAGTCTACGAA